CCGGAAGCATCCGCGAGTAGCTAATGCTGATGCCTCAGCGCAGTGGTTAGGAACAGCTGCTTGGAAAAACTAGGGGAACAACCATGGGTCAGCATTTTGCTGCTTCGATGAGCACGGAATGAGTTGGAACCAAGTTGAGCCATCCAACTTGTACTTTTTAAGTGGTTCTCTAAGTTCATGTTCAAGTTCTGTTTCTTCTCTGAGAACCAGAGGGGGAGGCCGAGAACATCAAGAAACCCTGAACCGCATCCCAAACATCATACCAAAATTGTGTGGACCCGATCTCAAACAAAGTTGTGCTGTATGCTGGGCCTCCAAAGGAGGGCTCTGGGCATTCCTGAAGCCATTTGGGTGTGTGACAGAAGTGGGGAACCCTCTTCCGGTTGGTTTAAAAAGGAAACCAAAAGCAAGACAGTTTTTGGGGAACTTTTTGTGGTTGCCAGGAGCCTCAAAAACCGATGAAAATGTCATACCTACAAAAAACACGATGTTTTTTGGAAAACACGATGTTTTCGGGAAACACCGCATTTTCGATTTCAAGCATTTTCCCATACATTCCTTCAACTCGTCATCCGTTCTCAAAAGATCTCAAAAGCATCATCTCAACCTCAGAATCTCCTATCGCCCTCCCCTTTTGCGCTCGTAACGAAATCAGCTTCGCATTCGCCACTCGTCTTTCAACTCCAATCTGAAAGAAGGAGGCCGGGGACCCAAATAGTCAACAGTACCACGGTTTTATGACACTTGTCAAGCAGCAATGCCATGATGAGGGCGTGCTGGCTTCGAACAGCGCGCAAGCTCAAGCAAAGACCGTGCTTTTGCTCACGACTTCGTTGTTTTCCAGCAACATCCTCGAATTAGCGCATTCGTGGTTGAACCCGAAAAACCCATAGAATTTCCACGGTTTGCAACGCTTTACTACGGGTTCTCCACGGTTTAGCTACGGGTTAGAAAACACGATGTTTTCCAAAAACACTGTTTTCGGTTGGGGCTGCGGGCTTTCTACGGGTTTCTACGGGTTTTCTACGGGTTTTCTACGGGTTTCTACGGGTTTTCTACGGGTTTCTGCGGTTAGCCGCCAGGATCCCGCCCCATTTTCAAAAAATGAACTCAAAATTTACAAAAACAATCTTAAAAGGTGTCACCTGGTCTTGTTTTGCACCAAAAGCAAACTGGTTCGGTATGACCTGGCGCCAGTCTTTCGGTGCCTGTTGCTGTGAAAGGTACTTCAAGACTGAAGCCAGCTGCACACCCTGGTTGTCAGGCTCATCAATGTGGTCCTTAGAATTTGAAGCATACTCAGTGTAGAGCGTTGCCCTCAGTTGAAATCTTAATGGGTGATGCCTGTGTGAATCCACTCCCGACCCTTGCCTTTGACCCTTTGCTCCAAATGAGTGTTTGGCCTCAGAAGCCAATTTTTAAGGGGGTTTTATCAAAAATACGATGTTTTTCCTGAAAACACGCCGTTTTCAGAAAATCGAGAAAAACACGATGTTTTAGTCAGGGTACGACATTTTTACAGGTTCTTGAAGCCCTAGGTGGTCTAAAGGGAACCGGGGTCCCCTAAAAAAGCAGAAAGCTGCAAGGGGGTCCTGTGGAGATTCTGCAACGTCTCTGGGGTTGAAGGAGCGTCCTTGATCCACTTGTGGCAGACTCCATCTGGACCTTCCCACCCCTCAGCCCCAGGAACCCGAACGCAAAAGATGGCCTTGGGAATGTGCATGTTGCCAACTCGAGCAATGTGAGCAACACTTCTGAGGGCTACTCGTGAGCGACACTGCTGACAACACCTCTGAGCGACATTTCTGCTCAACACTTCTGAGCGACACTTCTGAGCGACACTTCTGCTCAACACTTCTGAGCAAGACTTCTGGGCACCACTTCTGAGCAACACTTCTGATCGACACTCCTGCTCGACACTTCTGATCAACACTTCTGGTCGATGAGAAACACTTCTGATCGACACTTCTGAGCGACACTTCTGAGCAACACTTCTGACCGACTCTTCCGAGCAACGCTTCTGAACAATACAGCTGCTCGACACTAGAGTCATCAACACTTAAGTCATCGACACTTCCAGTCAACACTTCTGACCGACACTTCTGAGCAACACTTCTGAACGATGCGACACTTCTGAGCAACAACTCGGATCAACACTTCTGAGCAGATGCCACACTTCTGACCGACACTTCTGAGCAACACTTTTGAGCAACACCTCTGAGCGATGCGACACTTCTGAGCAACCCTTGTGAGCAACACTTGTGATCGACACTGCTGGTCGACACTGCTGGTCGACACTCTGAGCGACATATCAGACTAACACTTTTGAGCGACGCGACACTTCTGAGCAACAAATCTGAACACTTCTGGTCGACAGTTCTGACCGACGCTACTGATCAACGAGCAACACTTCCAAGCGACACTTTTGATCAACACCTGTGAGCGACATGAGCAACACGACACTCCTAGTCGACACTTTCAATGAGCAGCACTTCTGATCGACACTTTTGTTCGACACTTCTAGTCAACACTTCTGATGGACACTTCGAACAACACTTCAAAGACGCTTTTTGAGCAAGACTTAACTTGTGTTCCACACCTCTGAGCAGCACTTCTGATCGACACTTCTGAGCAACAAGTCTGAGCGACGCTTATCAGCGACACTTCTGAGCAACACTTCTGAACGGCACTTGCTTCTAAGCGGCATTGTACAGCATGACTTGTAATCGACACCTCTGAGCAACACCTCTGATCGACACTTCTGATCGACACCGACACTTCTGAGCGATTCTGATCGACACTTTCTGAGCAACACTTCTGAGAATGCAGCTTGTCACGTCTCTCGCCACGTCTCTTGTCTTGTAATGCGCGCCGCACCACAGCGAGAGCGATTAGACCCACCCAAAATGCGCGGAGGGTTCACTTTGTGCCCTCAAAATGTGCACCGCGCCACAGCGAGAGCGATTCGACGCACTCAAAGTGTTGCGCCTGCCACGAATCTGCGCCCAAGCTCGAAAGTACTTCGCCTGGCGCGAGCAACAGCTCCAAAGTGATGCGCTTGCCCAAAAGTGAAGCAAAACGCTCGAAAGCTGCGCCTGTCACGCAAAGTAAGCTTGCCACAAACTCGAATCTTCCACACCTGATGCGCCTGTCACGAAATCCAACTTTGACGCGTTTACGACACGCATCCAAATCATATAGCACGGGGCTGTGGTGCCAGAATGATTTCGACCAATGTCTTGATGCATTTCAAGCTCGCCAATCCGAGACGATTGCACGGCAGGGCAAATCGGAAATGACACTCGCGCAAACACTTGCACGCGCCTGCCAGGCCGGCAACCCGCAACGCGAACACATGTGAAAACACTGCGCCTGCGCAGAAAAACCACACGTCGAGCTTGCGAAGCTACAATTCCCGCACCGGGCCAATGAAAATAGCACTTGCCGATCCATCAACAACTCGCTTCCACAACCAATCCCAATGGCACACGCTTATCGCCTCACCGCGGACGGCTGCGAACGGTTGCGGACGGTTGCGAACGGTTGCGACCTCCCCAGACCCCCACTTATAAACGGGAACCCTTCGCTACGCATTCGGGAAAAAGCTTATTCTGCGCAGACGCTACAAATGAGCCCATAACCCAAACACAAAAACAACAATGCAAAAAAAAAGTGACTAATGCCAGGGAACACCCCTTTTCTTCATAAACAGGTAACAGGGGTTGATTAATATTAGGTCAACAAACAAGATCCGAACAAGCGGTATTTCCTCACCTGGCCCTCAGCCAGGGGTCCAGGGTCCCAGGGCCCCGCGCCGGTCTCCCTGCCGAAGGCGTGGAAGCCTGCCTCTGTGCCGGGCTTGATGACCTCGGGATGGGAAGCAAATGGGCGCCAAAGGCTACGGGGACTTTGTTTGTCCAACCTTCGTTTTTCCACCCCGCCCTCAAAAAAAGTGGGGGGGTCGAAAAACACAGCCCCCAAAAACACAAACAACAACACATCAAAAAGGAGGGATGAACGGGTCCTCAAAAGGGAGCCGAACTGCTCAAAGGCAAACGAACTTCGTAGCCCTTGTTTGTTGCTCGATTGTTTTGTTGCTTGTTTGTTTTGCGTTTGTTCGTTTGTTTAAGTTGCTTGCTTGTTCCTTCGCTCTGTATCCATCTGCCGCTGCTTGTCTCTGTCTGGCGCTTTGCGACATTGATCGCCGTTCAATGTTCGGGAAGGTTGCGCAAGGCGTATTATCCTGAGAAAAGCGCGTAGAAATCTCCTGGTAGCCTTCCTTTTCCGAACAAGGAAGTGAACACGCAAACCTCCCCTCTTGAAGCTTCCTACACATTTTTCAAACATGTTTTTACGTCAACCAAAACAACGGAGGCAGGTGCCACAAAGCCTGCGATCGGGGACCATAAAGGCAAACCCTTCTTTCATGAAGCCCAATAAAGCAATCCTCATGTCTTCAAATGGGATGCAACCAAAGCTGCGACGTCTTCCCCTCGTCAAACCCTTGAACAGGGATCTTACATTATACACGTGAACATTGCCTTGTAAATGGTGGTTTCCCTTTATTTGGGTGGAAAAAGCAACATGTTTCAAATGGTTGCAAAATGGAGATCTTTTAAGGAGCCCTGTTGAAATATCCATCCCTAGAGAATCCCTTGGAGACAAAAGCCAAACGAGGTCCGGGCACTCTTTGTATTGGTAAAGAGCTCAGCCTGCGGGATCAAATCGAGAGTTCGTGAGTCGGCCGACGGTCTGCGGTCTGCACCTGTGGCTCGACCCTCTGCCAGGTGGAAAGTTCGCCTGCCTTGACAAGCAGAGGGAAACCCAACGGGAAACAGGGAAAGTGGACACGTGGGATCTTGACCAAACCAAGAGATAAGCTTGATTTTGGACTGAGAATCATTCCAAGGACCCTTTAAACTGGATTGCTGCAAGACGTGGCCAATTCGAAGAGCCCCAAACCGTGTCTCTCACAATGTAGACAGCAGATTTGCTTCAGCTGCTCACTGTAAAGAAAACAGTGCAGTCGTGGCCATTTCGTTTCAAGGCACTGGGTAAAGCCAGCCGGCACGTTCGCCAGCCCATTTTTGTTCAGCCCCAGAAAGCTGAAACAGAGCCGGCAAGACATGATCTTCATATGGGTCTGCTTTTCTAAGGGACCCAACAAAATGTCGGTTTGGTTTCGCTTTAAAACCACCAAACAAGGAGCATCCTCAAAAACGACACATCCATATTTCACAAATCCAACACCTGAAATACAGGATCAGGCAAAGGAGCTACATCATGGCTCGCTCGTTTTACCCCATTTGTGTCAGGAGGCATGGGGTGATCCCAATGAAAGCGAAATCAAGTGAAAGGCCCAGTCACTGGGCTGCCCTTGTCTGCGGCTTCCGGTGGCAACAGCTTCCCCTCGCATTTTGGCTTGGAGCGAAGCGTGGTTTGGAATTGCAAGGTGTTTCATCTGGGCAAGTCAGCTTTTGCATTGCAAACAGAGTGCACAAAGCACGCAGCAAGAACGGTATGAATCTTTGCCGCAAAGGTGTTTGAGCTCACTGATAAGTTTCTTCGGTTTCACGGGCAGTTTCGCAGCTCAGTGGTTAGGCTTGGGGTGTCTAACGAGAAGAGCCATGGGTTCAATCCAGACCCAAACCAAAAAAATCCAAACCAAGGGGGAAGCTGATCTTCTCTCGTGGTTCACGAGGAATTGAGCAAATAATCACGCGGGATAGAATGTAAACAAACTCATACCTCTGTGGCTTGCCACCCGACTCTGCTGCCAGCCTGGCAGGTGAGGCAACCCTTTGAATGGGTTCTAACGAATGGGTTCCATACTGCACACAGGATCTTCATGACTGTCCTTTTTGAGCAAGCGATCGAGAACCCGTTTGTTCGAACCTGTTTGAGGTCCCCTGACCAATGGGTGACTACTGGCCAGTGCACCAGCACTTGGGCTTTTCGCTGGGGAGCAAACTTGTCACAACGTTCCCACTCACGGGTCTCACCAAAGCAACCGGTGCAAATGTTTCTTGCGGGAGGGAGGGTCAGGGACTCCCGTTTCTTCGCCTTCCGCACTGAACGAGTTGAACGCCTCTCATAAAGCAGCAGGGGCTCCGCTAAAGACGTCCGTGACATGAAGAGCATGCAGCCCTCACGCGCAAATTCTTCCGCATGTCCCGCAAAGTCTAGCTCGTCCAGAATGTGAGAATGAGCCAGTGCCCACGCATGTTTTCCATGCTTGGCCCAGGTCGCACAATGCCAAAAGGCGCAACAGTGTAACTCCCACGTGACACGCCAAAGTCGGCATTGGGGCCCGCCTCACCCAATTTGCAAGGCCCGTTCGGACACCTCAAGCGAAAAACTCGGCTGCCCGGGCCTTCCCCGTCACACGGGGTCCCGTGTTCCTTGGTTTTGTTGACCTCCATTTGCTTTGTCGCCCCTTGGAAATTTAAAAAAATGTCCGGTAGTGATAGATTCCCTTTAAAACCAACAGGGGAAAATCAGCCATATTCAGCAAATGGAAGTTGATAGGGTCTTCGAGATGTCCAAGGCCTTACTTTAAACACGCGTCCAAAAGGCCTACGCCGGGCCCTTGGCTCTCTGCGGGATGCGGGCGGCGGGCCGCGAGAACTTGTGAAACAAGATGCTTGCCCTGCAGCCTCAGCTGTCCTCTGAAAAAACTGTGTGGTTGAGCAGTCTGGTCCATGTCACGATCTGAAAATGACAAATGTCAAAACAGTACCCAGAAAAAGAATCATTGGCCCCTGGAGACTCCGGAACAAATGACAGATTGAACAAGGGGTCTTCTTTAAAACAGGACCAACTTCAAAGCCATGTATTGATATTCGATTGCTGCGGGTTGCCTGTCCTGGCTTTCGGAATTCGAGCCCCGGAAAAAAAGAAGAAGGCCTGGCGCCCTGTGATATTCGAGTCAAGCCCTCAGAACGCCAAGGTTGCCACTGGGCTGGGCCGTTCACCCGACCAAACTGGGAGACACCGAATGAATTTCCTGACATGAACCAAGGAGCCAACGGCATTTTAGGTATTTTTTACATATCTCTTTGGGCCCTATCGGTGCTCATGCCTCCTTTGACTTGCTCCTTGCGGCTGCATGCCGTCTCCTACCTCCGCCACTCAACACACCCCCAAAATAACTCTTGATACCAAAGTGGGCCATCCTAGGACTACATTGTCACTCAGGCGTTTCCTTGGTATCACGGAACATAAGCCATCTCCAGTGTTGCCTACGTGGTCTTCCGGCCAGCATGTGGGGGACGCTTGGCATTGCCCGAATGGCAAACAACACATTTGTTGGTTGACGTTTTTGTGATTGATGTTGATTGGACGCCCAATCAAGGCCAAGCAAGGTGTCATCTTTTCATTTTGTGGGCCTGTTTGGGGGAGAACCAGTGTTTCTTTTTCGGGGAAGTCCTCAATGGACAACTGGCTCTTGGGAACAAGACCCATCGTGGAAAACAACAGAAGAAAAAGGAAAAAAGTGTGGGAGTTTCTCAAAATGCTGGACCTTCTTGGGTATGTAAAGGGAACCAAAAGCAAACCAAGAATGCTAGGGTACCCCTTTGAGACAAAATCAGTTGGCCCAACTCCAGGGTATGAACATCATATGTTCAGTTCTCGTGAATGTCGAGCATTCGCCGAGGCAACTTTTATCTCTTGGGAAAAAGGGAAAATGATGTGTCCAAAGACGGGACGCCCAAAACAGGCCTTTGGTTTACCGTTGGTTTAACTTCAAATCAGTACCAACTCCAAAATCTCCCCCCTCCCCAAACCGTTTGGGGATGCTTTCGCTTGAGGACGAAGCAAGGCTGAGACCTGCAAGGGCATTCGCGACGAGAGAAGTACTCCGCAAAGTATTTTTTGGGGAAGGAACCCGCGGTTGACCCAAACAGATCATTCTAAGGATGGAACTTTTTGGGGGGGGCCTTGCTATTTGGATCTGGGGAGTCTCTCCTACATCTTCCTGCCTTTTCTGTGTCGGAAACTCCGGGAAACTGCAGGGGCGCGCAAGCATTGTCCGAAAACCAAGCGGACTTGGCCCTTCTTTCAGTTGGACATAAGGAGGGAAACGATAAAAGTTGCCAAACGGGAGGCATTATGCAACTATGTCTGCAGCATCCACCCGAGGTCTATTGCTTCGGCTTCAAGTTCGCCTGCCTAAGATTCACGCCCTGCATGTTGGTCACGGAACAATTGACACACAGCACATAGTTGTTGCATTGACCCAAATATTGAACAAGGAAGTCAGCAACCCCTGCTTGATCAATAAGACTGGTCCAATATTACAGAGTGATTATATGCCCCACCCATTGATCCGCAAGATTACTCCTCATGGTTTTGCCAAAACCAAGAAAGTACTTAGAATAAGCACCTGAGAAAGAACAGTGGGCAAAAATCAAGCCAGGAAAGCACAAGCCAAGCGCGGACGAACGTTTGCTAACTGGATTGGCTTCAAACCAGAATGCCATTAAACTGTTTCCGAAAAAGTCTACAGTCCAGCAACTTAGGGAGTAAGTGGATGGGTAACACAACAACTTGCAACCCGTCAGTCGAAAGTAAGCGGCTCCCCAGGCACAACAAATCGCGCTCACAAATGGGAAAGTGGGACGATGAAAACTTCCTGTTTGGCGTGGTGGGCAGTTGCCCGAGTTGAATAATCATTGATCCGCACAGCGACGAGCGGAAATGCTTTTAGGGCACACACGAACAGAGAGTGCCAGGGGATCCGACCAAGTTGACTCAATGGATGAATGGCAGTATACTGAGGTCAATCGAAACTTAGATTTCGCTTGCGGCTCCCGACTTTTCCCTGCTGGCACTCTTGCCAGTTCTCCATAGACTGCGGGGTTGTCCTTTTACCACGAGAGGAACAAATTGGCATAGTGCTGACTTGGTGTGAAAGGACTACCCTGCGAGATTTTGTCAGCTTGGCCATCCAAATGCCCCCTGCATGCAGAACCTCGTGCAGCCTCGCATGGTTTGATCCCAATGCTCTAGAGATGGATCGAAAGTTCGGCAGAATGCGTCTGCGCTTCAACTCGGGGCGTTTGTCGTTGGGACGGAGCTGACCTACAAATTCCAACTCAACAATCGAGCCACATGCTGGCGCAGCGCATGGCGAGAACTCCCGCAACACAAAGGTCCAGGACCAGGAAAGGCCCTGAATGAGATGCAACGACGATTGCCTTGGATACCGCTTCCGTGGTGTGTGTGTGTGTCGATGTGTGTGTGTGTCGGTGTGTGCGTGTGTGTCGGTGTGTGTGTGTGTGTGTGTGTGTGTGTGTGTGTGTGTGTGTGTGTGTGTGTGTGTGTGTAGGTGTGTGTGTGGTGCGTGCGTGCGTGCGTGCGTGCGTGCGTGCGTGGTGCGTGCGTGCGTGCGTGCGTGCGTGCGTGCGTGCGTGCGTGCGTGCGTGCGTGGCGTGCGTGCGTGCGTGCGTGCGTGCGTGCGTGCGTGCGTGCGTGCGTGCGTGCGTGCGTGCGTGCGTGCGTGCGTGCGTGCGTGCGTGCGTGGTGCGTGCGTGCGTGCGTGCGTGCGTGCGTGCGTGCGTGCGTGCGTGCGTGCGTGCGTGCGTGCGTGCGTGCGAGCGTGCGTGCGTGCGTGCGAGCGTGCGTGCGTGCGTGCGTGCGTGCGTGCGTGCGTGCGTGCGTGCGTGCGTGCGTGCGTGCGTGCGTGCGTGCGTGCGTGCGTGCGTGCGTG